GTATATAAATAAATTATCCGGACAACCCCGGACAATTGATTTACATCAGCCAATCACACGAAAGTCCTCCTATGATATGTAGGGTCGCATGATGACAGATTAATTTTACCCCCGAAAAAGAGGGATAGACATTCCCACGTAAATGTTCGGATCCACGTGATTATTGCATTCTATTTTACGCAAAGCCATTATTGCTAAGCGCCTGCATACTGCATACGCATCAATCACTAATTAGGAAAAAGCCAATTACATAATGTAAATGAATTATAACAAAGAATATCGATATAAAATAATATCCACAAATATTATCGTTATCTTAGTACTCGAACAAAATGATGGCCTGTCCAGCAACGTTCAAATATTTCGAGGAAGCGGATCCCCAATCAAATGGTCGGCATTCCTTTTTTTAGCGCTAGTAGAATATTGTATAACAAAGAAAGTTTAAATTACCGTAACGTGATCCAATATGAAATCCGCAAGATACATATCCTCTAATGCACGATGAGGTTTAGAAAGAACAATATTACTCCATCCGTTATCATTTAATAAATTAGATTCATTGTTAGTATTTTTTAACAATAGCAATTTTTATTCTAGTAAAAGTTTGTAAAATAATCAATATTAAGTTTATTATAAAATAAGCTATTTATGTTGAAGTACAAACTTTGAAGATGTCGTACCTGGGAAAAACGTCATTTATCAAAAAGTGCATTCAAATGCAAAGTATTGCATAACGATAGATCAAATGATTCTTATTCGAAATGTATAAATAGAATAAACTTTATATACGTATAATAAAATATAAGTGGACTCCTAAAAGTTGATTGATTGATTCTTTTGTTGGTTGTTACTCTAATATTTAATAAAAGTAGAATTTTAAAAATATATAAACAACCCAAAATCCAGTCTAACAAAAAAATAACATGGTAATTCTAAGTAATAACACCATCAAAAAAAACGAAATCTTTTACGACGACGACGACGATGACGACGACAATGAAAATGATGATTACTATGCAGCCGAAGAAAAGAATATTTCATCAGTTGCCAAAATATTGACTGGCAATGATATTTCACCAATCACCAAAGTATTAACCGACACAAATCTTTTACTTGTAATTTTCTCTCATCTCTCAAAAAAATCACTTCACGTCACTAAAAAAGTGTGTAAGCAATGGCGTCAACTCGTGAATCTTGTCATTAATATTAATGTTAATGATAAGAATGTCAGTTCCGAAGTTGGATGTCTTCGCGAAGAGTTGTTTGACCTCTGGTCAAAGAATGTTCATTTAGAAGAAATGAATGTAAAATATGAGAGTAAAATACATAATCTGGAAGCTGAGTTGGAAGATGAAAAGAAAAATAATGAGAAATTGACGGAACAAATTGATGAATTACGAGAACAAACCAAAACGTTTAAAACTCGCTCACATAATCTCCAAAAAATCGGCAAGATTACCCAACAACTCGAGCAAGAAAAAGCAAAACTCGAACAAGAAAATGCGAGACTCAAAGATAAAAATCGTTATCTCGAAAACAAACTCAATAAACTTGAACTCGATGAATGTCGTCAATCTTCTTCTAAGCCAACAACACCAGTAAATATTAATGATGTCTTCGTCGTTCTGGAAAATTTGGTTTCTCTTAAAAAATCATCACAACAACAACAACAACAACAACAACAACAACAACAACAACAACAACAACAACAACAAGACGAAGAACAAGATCCCGCCGTCAAAATACTATCGACGACACTTGTCGCCGCGTGTCAAAGCGAAAATCACGCTAAGAATGTGATTAAATCCAAAGTTAATGATTGTATCACAACTTCTAGCGTGGTGTATAATTGTAATATTAGCGCGACTAAAGCGTATATCGAAATGAAGAATCAGAATGGAGTGAAGACGGGATATGAGTGGGTTATTAAGAAACAGGTTTTGGAGCAATGAGAAACTTTTTTTTGTTGTTAGATTTTTGAGTTATGTTATTTTTGTTTAGAATTGTGTATTTTTGAATTACTCTGTATGGGATGCAAATTCCTTTTTTTTTCTTTTTATAGACGGTTGTATCGAACAATTTTATCTCTCAATCAATAAATATCTATTAGTTTTGTTTTCTTGTTTTATAACTTTTGACAGAAATTTTATTTTCAGTTCGTTATGCAACACGCAAAGATATTCTAAATCAATGGATTTTCTATTTTGCCAGACACGTGCCCAATAGAATTCATATGGTGCAAACCATCAAACAGTTATATTATATAAAATGTATAAACTTCTCAACTAGGAAGTATTTTAAAATTTAATCCGTAAATATGGTGGAAAAAGACTTATTCTACCATATTTACGGATTAAATTTTGAATATACTTCCTAGTTGAGAAGTTTATACATTTATAGAATATAAATGTTTGATGACTTTAGATGGTGCGCACCATATCACAAAAATATTTTGGAAAGATAAAAAAATAAGCAGAAAACTTACGTTCGATCATCGAACTCTTCGAATGAATATAAATGATGATAAGTACAGTGAACTCTCTTTTAAGTGCACTTCTGGACCATATCACTAATCAGATATAGTGCATTTACATTTATAGAGTAAATAATTAGAGGTCTTATATGCTTGTGATTGAGACAGAGCGTACACTTAGGAGGAGGTATATAGTGCATGCATTTATATGTGGTGCATGTAATTGACAGCGCGAATTTTCAAGTTTTCGTGTAGATCTTTGATATGAACATCTTATTTAAAGGGAGATGTTTTACTATATAGAATTTCTTTGAATCGATAAGTATTCCATGATTTAGTAGTTTCAATCCACATGCCCACACAGATGGACTGAAAGAATTGCAAATAATTTTAATTGTGGCATCCATTTCGATTTCTCGATTTTTCCCTCGACTGTATTTTCATTGAGCTGTTCCGTCACAACTGAAATAAATACACTTAGAAGTTCAATTTTTCTCTAGGGATTGAACCCCAAAATTCGTCGTCCAAAAGTTTGTCGTGCTTCGATTGGTCACAGGATTTGCGTAACAGAGATTCATAATGACGTGTAATTGTGGTCGGCCGATTTACATATGTATCAATAATTTGTTTGTTAGGGGATGACAAATATTAGCTAATATCCTCCTGAGATTTCACTAATATATGCACGTGATATTATATTAACACCTGAAATTTAACTAATATCTCACCTAACGCGTTTTACATAATTTTTGGTTTGTTGCTATCGTTACGTAGTCGTCCTTAAATTTAAATCATGTCTATTGATGCTGTTTATTTAAGTGTGCTAAAATAACCATAAAAGTATCTGCTAACTTACAAATAAAATGTAGATAATTGCAAAATTTCAACTTTTATAAAGTTCACTGTACAATATTTATAAGTACAGTTCTGGCGAAAAGTAATGACGACGTAGATTTTATATAATGTAGTCTTTTTTATATGCACTAAGCCACTTTCAAGATCCTGTTGTCGAAATGCATTTCTATCTTTTTCTAAATAATATTTCTAGTGATACTTATCACTGTAAAATAGAATCTAAGTCATTAAGTGCTTATAATTAAAATTTTGCAAAAACTTTCTTAAATAACTAATATTTTTATTTATTTTTGTAAATAATATAATATCTATTTTTATATTCATATTAAATTTCAGATACTCACTTTAGTTATTTATACAAATATTCTTTTTGAAAAACTTAATGATATAATAGCTAAAATATACTTTGTTATTGTTTTTATACAAAAAATATTTGAATATTTTTTAAATATAATAAGTTAAAATAATGGTATTACAAAATTGAATATGTTAAAAAAAATTTTTTGTTAATTAGTGAAAATAAAATAAAAATATATTTTAAAAAAATAGTATTTAAATATACAATTTAAGATATTTAATTTTAATCATTTTATAAAAAAATTCTTTTTTAAATTAATAATTTTAAGTAAAACTATATTTTTGAAAGAAAAAGTTTTTTGATTTTTATTTTTAATAGTATTATAATAATTTAAATATTATTTATTTTATAAATTAAAAATTTGATATATTGTTACCATTTTGATGGGACTTTCAAAATAGTTAAAGGTATTTATAAAATTTAAGGAATATTCAAAGGGAAACTTTCAATATCTTAACGATGTCACAGTGCAAGTTTTAGTATATTATTAAGTTTAAAATAAAGATGGTCGCAATTAATTGCACTATAACACAATAATATAAGTAATTTATTTAAAGTGTTTTTAATTTGATTAATTTCTTTATAATTTTAATGTTTACGTGATTAAAAGTAATTAACAATGTTTCCATAGAATGTTTGTTAATTCCAGCAGAATTTAAGTAATTTATCAATAATTTAAGATTTATATTCAAAAGTGTGTTTTTTATTAAAA